ATCATCGTCGACTTCACCACCGCCTCGCTGTTTTGTTTGTTGTCTAGTTGTGTGCTTGTGTTGGGCTTGTTGTGATGTGCCCACATCGGAACTTGGGTCTATGTGTGTTGGTGTTTGTGTTGGACCGTGCCTGCGGTGGCTTTGGGTGCGTGTGTGTGGTGTGTGTGTGTTCGTGTGACTTTGGTAACTTTGTGCTTGGTGGTGTTTTATTTATAAAACGGGGCGAAAGCCTTTTTCGGTAAAAATACATAGATCAATGTGCTCACCTCGGTGTCCGACGACGGGATGGTCGCGACCGGCGATGTTAGCTTCGGATCGCCGGCTTAGCGAAGGGCACGGGTGAAGTGGGAGAGAAGAGTAGAGTAGCACCGGCGCAGTGGGCCAGGCCAATTAGCTTTCGGGGCGGAGTGCAGCAGCAGCGTGATTTGAAGACAAAGGGCCCGCGCGATGCGCGGCACGCGCGATCTATAACCCATACGTAAGCCAAATGTCCCTTCACGGCCACTTGGCTTACCGGGGAAGCCAAGGGTTTTTTGATTTAAAAAGGAAAATGGAAAATATAAGGCGAGTGTCGGGTGAGCATAGTCGGCTTATACCAACGGCCGCCATGCATGCTAGCCGTTAATTGGGCTGTCGGCGGCCAAGTGGCAGAAGCTGTTGCTCGGGCTCCCATAAGCCGAGTGCTTTTAGACTAGCCACAGTGGGAGTAACTTCAGCAGTAACATCGAGTCCAACTCAGCAAATTTGTTTATATGGCAATGAGTTAATAAGGAGAAAGATAGTTACAGTAACTTAGCTAGTTACTGTAACATCACATGTCCCAAAGCAATATGAGTCTATAACCTAATAAATGAAGGTTTGCATGTTATCACACTTATGTTACTACCCACTATGAAGGTAGTAATATAATCTAGGGATATGTGTATGTTATTAGTATATGTTACTCTCTATTGTGGCTAGTGTTACGCTTGTCAACCGAGAGCTTTTCCTTAAGCAACTCGGTTTATAGCTTTGCAAACCGAGAACTCTTTTGTTGCCATGCATGCATCCTCCATTTGATACTTGGCTTAGGAGGAGGAAAGCCGAATACCCGTATTTTGACACTCGGTTCAGAGGAAGATACACGGCAACAAATGATTTTCCTGAAGCGTCGGGTCCCTGTCAGGAAAGAAAATGAAATTGAAAAAAAAAACACTTGACAGGGACAAAGTGGGGTAAAGGTGGGACGCCCATGTCCATGTATATATAAATAGTTCCACTTGGAGTCTGATATGGTATCATATCTTTTGAAATGGATAGGCGACTCAAATTCCACCGTGTGCCCCTCCTTCTCTAGAATTGCTCTTACACCGCGGAGCGAGATCCATAAGCAGCAGCGGCCGTCTCCTTCTCCTTAACGAGGAAGGGAAGAGCAAGAAGGCAGCGCAGCGATGGAGCTTGTGGTGGGCACTTCGGAGGAGAATATGCGGTCCCTCCTGAGCAAACTAGGCGGCCTTCTCTCCGAGGAGTACACCCTGATTAGGGGCGTCGACGGGGACCTCCAGTACATCAACGACGAGCTCGCCACCATGCAGTCCTTCCTCCGCTACGTTGGCTCAAGACGTGGCCACGACGACCTGACCAAGGACTGGATGAAGCAGATCCGCGACCTCACCTACGACATTGAAGACTGCATCGACGACTCCGGCAACCGCCTCCACGGCCTGCCCACCGGCATGCCCTGCTATTTCCTCCTCAACAGCGTCTTCGAGATCCTCACGTGGTGGCCTCGCCGCGATATTGCCGCTAGGATATCAACCCTCAAGATGAGGGCGCAGCAAATCGGCGAGCGGCGCCAAAGGTATGTTGTCAACGACCCCTGGACCGGCGAACCGCCTGCGGGTGCCGGTCCGCCCACCAAGGCCGCAGTATTTGTAGCTGCGGACAACCAGGATGTCCGCCTTCAGCTTGTCGACATGAAGGACCCCGTGGGAGTGGAGCAGCAGATGAAGGACCTCAGAAGGTGGGTGACTTACCTTGTCGGGTTCGGAGGGGTGGGGAAGACCGCAATAGCCACCGCATTGTACAGGAAATTTAAGGAGAATTTCGTCCACACTGCGGTGGTCACAGTGTCTCAGAGCTCCGACGTGGAAGCCATTCTCAGGAGCATCATCAATCAAATCAAGCCCAAGGCCAGCAATCGCCAGGAGGAGGGCGGTTCAACCAAGAGTGCCATGGCCACTATTAAAGGCGTAATGGTCAAGTACTGCAGCGCTGGCACCTCGGAGGGAAAGCATGATGGCACCAAGAAACAACTCATGAACGAGCTCAAGCAGCTCATCGAGAAAAAAAGGTACGTACTCCCTTCGTCCCAAAATATTGCAACTGTTCCAAGTACTCCCTTCGTCCTAAAATATAGTGTCAAAAAAAATTAGGATGGAGGGAGTACATATTATTATTTATTGACAACATGATGACAGTTCACCGACTGGAATTCCTAAACTTTATCATGTGAATATTTGCTTTATAAACAGTGATTCCAGATTTGCTAAAATTCTAGTTATTTTGACGTCCTTCCCTCTACCTTTTGTGTACTGTACACACGCCTGCAGAGTGCGTACACTTATATTTGCCCCAGAAACTTGCAATTGTAATTATGCACCACATATTTGTTTGAACTAGTCTCAAATTATTTTGTTTTGATTTGCACAAGAAAAAGAAGTTGTGATTAGTTCTGGTGTCTCGCCTTTTGCTCCACTTTCAATTTCTGTTCCTGCAGGTACTTGTTGTTAATTGATGACGTATGGTCTGCAAGTATGCTGGAAAATATTATAAAAGAACTTCCTGATGATAAAACCAGCAGAATAATAGTTACGACGCGGTTCCATTCTGTGGCTACACCCAAAAGAGACACAGAACTTCGTCGAGTCACTGGTCTTGCTGAAGAAAAATCCAAGAAATTATTTGAGCAGGCCTTCTCTGAGTCCAAAGGAAACAAAGATGTTGCTATTATATGGCCTCAAGATTTTTCTGCACCACCCAACACAGAAGAAGGTAACAAACCTGTGCATATTCATCTTTCTTTTCTTTTTCTTTTTTTGGCTGTTGGGGGTCATTAATTTAGCATGCTGCTATTATAGTCATCGCCCAGGATGTGCCCAGGGAAACTAGGGGCCGAATCCAGCCACATTGGCGACTCAATATTTTGACACACAAAGTGCGCACAAGAATACTGCTGAGAAGAGTACGCCGTCCAACGAAGAAAAAACATGTCCATTCATGTAAGCAAGGCACCCCTGAAACTGAAAGCCAAGGTAGTGAAGATGCCACTGTCCCCAATGAAGTCTGGAAGATGTGTGGGGGGCTGCCATTGGCCATAGTTACCATGGCTGGTCATGTGGCCTGCAACCCGGACAAATCATTGAAGGATTGGTCCGACGTTTGCAGCTCTCTATTCCCGGAGTTAGGACAAGATCATATCAAAAAACTTACGCAGGAGGAAGTGGGTAGGATCATTAGCTATTGCTATGACGACATGCCTGCGGAAATCAAGACTTGCTCGATGTATTTGAGCATATTTCCGAAGGGTGACAGAATCAGCCGGAAGCGTTTGACAAGGCGATGGATAGCCGAGGGCTTTGTCCGCGAGAAGCATGGGCTGAGTATGGAAGAAGTTGCAGAGACGTATTTCAATCATCTCATAAGAAGGAAGATCATCCGGCCAGTGGAGCACAGCAGCAATGGAAAGGTAAAGAAATGCACAGTTCATGACATGGTTCTCGAGCACATTGTAGCAAAGGCAAGCGAAGAGAATTTCATCACCGTAGTTGGTGGTAACTGGCTAATGCAGCCATCTAGCAGCAAGGTCCGTCGGCTGTCCCTCCAAGCCTGTGATTCCAACCGTGCAAAGGATACAGAAAAGATGAACATGTCACATGTTCGATCAGTAACCATGTTTGGAAGTTTGAACAACCAGTTGCATGCCCATTTGTTCAAGCTTGAAATTGTGCAGATCATGGATCTTGAAGGATGCAAGGGTTTTAAACAGCACCATATCATAGAGATTTGCAGAATGGTTCTGCTCAAGTAACTCAGCCTGCGGGGGACTGACACTAAATGCCTTCCAAGTAAGATAAAAAAGCTTAAGAACCTTGAGACTCTCGACATAAGAGAGACAGATATTGTCGAGTTGCCAGCCACCATATGCCAGCTTGAATGGCTGGTTAACATACTTGGTGGCAATAAAACAACACGGAAGGCACTGAAGCTTCCAGAAGAGTTGAACAGTAGAAAGAAAATGAAGGCTTTGCGCATACTGTCGGGGATTGAGATTGATGAGGCATCAGTGGATCTTCATCATTTGACTGAGCTGAGGAAGCTTGCAATCTACAAGCTGAATACCAAGGGGAGCACTGCAAATTTCAAAGATTTAATCTCCTCTATTGAGTACCTCGGTGGCTATTCTCTACAGACCCTTGTAATTGATGACGAGTCATCGGAGTTTATCAAATCACTAGATGACCTGTCATCCCCTCCGAAATTTCTTATTGCCCTTGAGTTATCAGGCAAGATGGCTAAGCTCCCCAATTGCTTGCAACACCTCCATACTCTCAGCAAGTTAACCCTTTCTGTTACAGCTCTCCGGACTGATAACTTAAAGGATCTCAGCAACCTAGAGGCATTGTTTTCTCTCACCTTTTCTTTTAGGGAAAAAGGGCAGGATCGAGAAACACTGGCCATTGTCGCAGAAAATAAGATGTACTCCAAGGGGAAGGTCACAGTTCCAGCAGATGGCTTTAAGAGTCTTAAGCTTATGCGCCTCTTTGTCTCTGGTCTTGTCTTGCCATTATTGAGCTTCTCCAATAAGGCTATGCCAGAACTGGAAAGGCTTGAGCTACGTTACAACATGCTGGAGGGCCTTTATGGGGTAGAAAACCTTGCAAAACTCAAGGAGGTGCATTTTACATCAGACGCCAAAGCTAATGAAGGTACCATGACTAAGGATATAGTAGCAGAGATAAATAATGCACTGAGTATTAATGGGAAAACATCCAAGATAATCGTTCACAACTGACTGATTGAGATGAAACCAACATGTGTTGCTTTCTGTGTGTGTCTAAGTTTGGCATCATTGCATTTTTACTTGTACTCGCTTTTTTTCCTGCTGCTTTAGGATGGCGCATCACCTTCGTGCATCCTATGAGCGTGCCTAATGGCTTATCCATTGTGTTTGTGTGTGTGAAATAAATTTGATAACTATTGGAGAATGTGGGTGTATTATATTGTATTTACCTCTGGACATCTATCAGAAGTTATGTAAGTGACTACCGTTGAGATGTTTCGGGAACAACCATTGTGCAAAGGGTGTGGGCTTTAGTAGCGACCCTACTTTCTTTTTAGAGATAGATAGATATATTTCACTGATCCTCCACTCTGGATGTTGTTTCCTGTCTGCTTCTCCATTGCATCACAGACGAGCATGTGTCCCAGCGGCATTTTATTTTGGCACGGATGTCGACATAGCTCGCTCAGGGGCCGATTAAATGGCTCATGTCGCCATTGTGTCCCAAGGCTCATGCCATTGCGTCCCAAGGCAAGGTTGTGGAGGAAGAGGGTGATTGAGGACAGGCAAGGAGAGGTAAATGGGTCAGCATCACCATCACGTCCCAACATGACGCTCCTAGTAAGAGGATGATAGAGCAGAGAGATGAATTTGGAGGACAGGACGAAAGAGATGATTTATCAATGCCTATGTTCATAGCTTAGCTTCCTCATGGGTAACTCAGATTAACAGAGATGTATTAATACGCATGATTATCTCACCTGATTTGTTCTACAACTCAAATATGGATCTGCAGCCTGATTAAGAGAAATTAGGTAGCCATAAGAGAAGTAGCTAATCCACCGAATTGCCAGAACAACCCTCAAACCCATACTATACGTTGGTAAAGGCTAGAGAGGCAGATCCTGAAATTCTATGCAAAACAGCAAATACAAGGCATCATGCTCTGGGTACAAAATAAACACTTGCCAACATATGTGTAACAGGAAAGGAAATATGAAACTGGAAGAATAGAAAAAATGGTCAGACTTATATTCCTTTTGCATGAGCAAGGAGAATATTCAAGCCAAAGCAGAGGATCTGGTTTCAGGTTTGCAGACCTCATAACAAAGAACACCCAAAATGAGGTTTTTTATTTATTTTTACACTGACCATTAGGCTAGTTTCCCTTATTATTCATGAAAATCTGCAGGCTTGATAAGATGTATGACAGCTTGCTCTAGAGTTGCATTGTGCCCAATGCATGAAACACTGACAGCAATGTCACCCCTCATCATTGCACAATCTGTTTCACTCAGACATCAAACGTGAGGCTGAACTTGGTAGCAAGAGGTATGGATATGATGGCAGCACCGAGCGCAACGCCAAATATACGGTGCGAGATGGAGAACGTAGCACTCAGCTGTGGCTTCTTCAGAGGAAGATGGGGAGACAATGGGCGGTTTGCAACAGGAGCTGACCGGGGGCGACTTGTGTGTAGAGATCGGCTTCCAGATGGAGGCATCTTCTTTCGCAGAGCTCCTAAGGAAGAAGATGCGTAGCTCTTTGCTTTCCCAATGGTTGAGGGGAGTCTAAGGCCATCCATGTTGTTGAAAGATGAGTCTGAGGCACCTGAAAGACAAAGGCAACAAATGTAACCAGGCATCATCATTAGTTGATCGATATACAGGTGTAGCTATTATCAGGCGACAGATGTAAAGTATTTGTTTAACCAAAACTTTAATCGTATCAAAGTATTTTCATGTGATTCAGATGCTTAAAATCTTGACATCAAGGTTCAGTCTAATCTCTGTTTTGTCCAGTGAGAGAGAGCGTTGCAGTTAAATATCTGAGAAAAAGCTACAGATCAAAGGATCACTTGTTCCTTTATGTTAATATAATCTGGCACTATATAAAGAGGACTATTTTAGTTCAAGAACCATCATTTTTACTAGTGAGTCATGCTAGGATTAGGATTTACAGTCAAACAAGAACACTAAAAAAAAGTCAGTTCTAGGTTGTATACATGAGGACCCTGTAAGTGCCTCAGTTTGGGAGAGAGAGCCTTATTAGAAGATATAAACTGCAGATTCCTATAGTGCAGAATAGCAAGATTGATGGAAGACAATGCCGATACTAGTATAATACCATTTACTCATAGAAATTGTATGCTTTATATTTACTACTAAAAAGATGGATGTTCTTCATTAAACAACACACTGGATTACGAAACCATGTGTGGATAGAAACGAGATATAGAAGCACTCTCTTAACACACCAAATAAACCTCCCTATCTATCTAACATTCTTTCCAGCCTGAAGCGAGTGTTGCTGTGATACTTGTCCATTCCTGCCGAAAGAAGAACCAACACCATTACATATTTACATTAATACCAATCTATAAGAAGCACCGATACAGCCACACGGATAGGGCTACGGCGATTTGTTGTGTGGTGAGATGGATACCGCAATAAAGAAACTGTCGCAAGACAAAGAACAATTTTGAGATGTGCGATTGGATCAAAATACTGCCCCCATTTGTTGCCTCCATGCCTATTTTCGAGTCATCAATGATTATGAATTTCCAAAATCCTCGAGTCATCAAGCACGCAGGCAGCAAACATCGCACGGGAGGACCGGAGGAGAGCACAATTGGGGAAGGAAGTAACCTTGATCTGCCCCACGCGGCGGGCGGCGGCACGCAGACGGCGTTTGCAGTCGGGGTCGAGGGCGAATCCAGGCGGTGGCGAGGCGATTCCAGACGGCGGCGACGACGGCGGGATCGCGGTACTGGAATAACTTGCGGTCTTGCGTTGCGCCTCACTTTTTTTTTTGAACACAGTGCGTTACGCCAGGGTTAGCAACGTGATGGGTCTTGCTGGGCTGGGCCATCTCATCCCGTGTCCCCTGCGTATTCGCACTTTTTTTTTGTCTTCTTTATCTTTTATAATCGAGGAAAGGAACATTTTTTTGGTGGGTAATAGGAATTTTTTTGAGGATGTAATAGGAGATTTATTCCTTTGCCTAAAAAAAAAGAAGTTATATTCCTTTCCATAAAAAACTACCAGGAGTTGTATTCCATTATGATAGCGTTACAATCAAGAGGCAAAAAAGTTATTCAATACAAGGGGATCCTCTATGTAGCCACACACAAGTGCTACAATTAGTACTACATGACTTTATATTGCAAACTGATTTGCTACCCTATTGTGAGCACGACTAAGCTTTTGTGCAGTAAACTCCTGGCCTTCAAGAAGTGCGTGGATCTCCGCCTCCTCAACATCATTATAGTTAAATAAGAACCTGTATGTTGCAAACATAACACTCCTATCATGTCGTCTAAGAATCATGCCCGTTGCCGGCATCCCATATCGAGCGAAGAAAGAACCACATAAAAGAAATACTCCGGGATAAGATTTTCTTTTTGTTGCCATAGAAAACTTTCATTGCATGAATTTCCTATAGCACAAGACTTGTCTTTCCTCTCTCCCAAGGCGACTGGGAAAGGCTTCCTCCCGACGATCTTCGCCGGCGAGCCCGTGGATTTGCTTCCCCTCTGCATGCCACTCCGGTGGCCAGTGGCGGGGAGGAAAATCCTGCTGTCTTGACTCCCGCTAGTAGATAGGTAGGGTTTTAATCCTCGTAGGGGCGGCGTTTGAATGGATGATGGCGCTCCTTCTTTGAGTCAGTCTTCCGGGTTGCGATCCTCCTTAAGTTCGTCCATTGGGACGGATCGGACGGTGCTCCGGCGTAGATTCTTGCCAGCTCCTTGGGACGGCGAAGTTAGGGTATCTAGACATGCGTACACAATGGCGATATTTGGTGTCAGGTTCTTCAAATCGATTCAAGGATTCAACAGCGACAACTGCGGATCCGAGGTGCTAGTCCTTAGGGGCACATGCACGAAGACTACCCAGCTATTATAGACAAGCTCAGGTCGGCTTCGTTATGGGAGCGGCGACAGCGGCGCGTCGACGGCTCGTTCTGGCGGCAGCAATGGTCGTTTGGTGGTCCATGGACCTCAATATAACTTTTATTATGTTTGAAGTGTTTTGTACTTCCAGTGAATCTTTATGATAGATCTGATCCTTTTCGCAAAAAGAAAAGAAAACTTTCATTGGCCAAAAGAAGTCATTATAGTTTTGTTGATAGAGAAAAGTCAACCCCATCAGAGGAACAATGCACCCACATAACAGTCTGAGGTAACGAACACCCATTTGGGCGAGTGCACGACTAGATCACTACTCAGAAAAGTCTTATAGATGGGTCAACCCCATCAGAGGAACAATGCAGCCACACAACAGTCTGAGGTAACGAACGCCCATTTGGGCGAGTGAACGACTAGATCACTCCTGAGAAAAGTCTTAGTCAGGGGCAATTGAAGATTATTGAATTCTGAATATGTATTAGGGCCTTAAAGGGCTGTTTATATAAGATACAAAACTTGGAGGCCAAGGATAGTAGAGATAGATTACAATTTGAACTACCAAATATACAAACCGAATATATACTCTAATACCCCCCGGCAGTGTCAACATCAGGTGTAACAATGTTGAGACTGGAGCGAATGCCAGTGAATGCTGGAGTGGGGAGCCCCTTGGTGAAAATATCAGCAAATTGCGCAGTGGTAGGAACATGAAGCACACGGACCTCGCCAAGAGCCACTTTTTCACGAACAAAATGAATATCAATTTTGATGTGCTTGGTGCGTCGATGCTGAACAGGATTGGACGCCATGTAGACTGCAGAAATATTGTCGCAATAAACAATAGTTGCACGCTCGATTGGTCGATGGAGCTCAATCAAAAGCTGACGGAGCCACACCGCCTCGGCCACAGAATGAGCAACAGACCTGTATTCAGCTTCTGCAGACGATCTGGAAACTGTAACCTGCCTTTTAGAAGACCAAGAAACAAGATTGTCACCCAAATAAACACAAAAGCCGGATGTAGATCGTCGAGTATCTGGACAACCCGCTCAGTCTGCATCAGAATAAACTGTCAAGCTTGTTGGAGAGGAAGAATTAAGGAGAAGACCATGATCAATAGTGCCTTTGAGATACCGAAGTATTCTCTTGACATGAGAATAATGAGGAACACGAGGATCATGCATATATAAGCACGCTTGTTGAACAGAATAAGATATATCAGGACGAGTGAGTGTGGCATATTGGAGAGCACCAGTGATACTGCGATATAGAGTAGGATCAGAAAAAGGTTCACCGTCGGCCGACAACTTGGTACCAACGTCGACCGGCGTACGACATGGTTGATAGTCAGTCATCCCTGCACGAGAGAGCAAGTCAAGAATGTACTGGCATTGAGAGAGAAAGAGTGTAGACGAAGTGCGGGAGACAGTGATCCCAAGAAAGTGATGAAGAGGACTGAGATCAGTCATGGAAAATTCACGATTAAGAGAAGATATAATGTGTTGTAAAAAGGAATCAGAAGAGGCAGTGAGAATTATGTCATCAACATATAAGAGAAGATAGGCAGTATGGGAGGAGGAACGAAAAATGAAGAGAGATGAATCAGATTTAGACGCGGTAAAACCTATTGTGTGAATAAAGGTGGTGAAGCGATGAAACCAAGCACGAGGAGCTTGTTTAAGACCGTACAGAGATTTGTGAAGAAGACAAACAAAATCAGGAGAAGAGGAATTCTCAAAACCCGAAGGTTGTTGACAATAGACAGTTTCGTTGAGAGTGCCATGGAGGAAGGCATTTTTAACATCTAACTGATGGATCGGCCAAGAGGAGGAGACAGCGAGACTGAGAACAACACGAATGGTACTAGGTTTTACAACTGGAGAAAAAGTCTCATCAAAATCAACACCGTGTTGCTGAGAAAACCCACGACAAACCCAACGAGCTTTATAATGAGCAAGAGTACCATCAGCATGAAATTTGTGACGGAAAACCCATTTGCCGAAAACAACATTGACACCGGGTGGTTTGGGAATGAGAGTCCAGGTGTTATTTTGCTGAAGAGCATGAAACTCATCACGCATAGCAGAGTGCCAAAGAGGATCGAGAAGAGCACGTTTATAAGATGTAGGAATAGGGGAGATAGTGGGAACGGCCGTGAGGTTAAGACGTCGTGTAGGGAGGTGAAAGCCACGCTTACCACGAGTGCACATGACATGATCATTGGCCGGAGGTATTATAGGAACGGCATTAGATGGAAGAGGCGGTGTGGAGGAAGAAGAGGAAGAAGGAGAAGCAACAATAGGGGAGATGGGCGTGGGAGGAGAGGAAGCTGCTGTCAAGGGAGGAGTGGGGGGCGCGGAAGGCTGTGGTGAAGGAGAAGTGGGCGGTGCAGAAGGCTGCTGTGGAGGCATGGAAGACTGATGCGGTGGTGGTTGTTGCTCCGGGACAATAGAGGTAGGAGCTAGACGAGGGAGGAGAGGAGATGAAGAACGAATAGAGGAAGGTTGGGTTGTGGATGATGTTTGTGTGGCAGCGTAGGGAAAGGTATATTCGTCAAAGACGACGTGACGGGAAATAATGACACGGACGGATGAGGGATCAAAGCAGCGAGAGCCCTTATGATCATCGGAGAGACCAAGATAAATGCAGGTTAAAGAGCGAGGTTCTAGTTTATGAGAAGTGGTAGAAGTGATGTTGGGAAAACAGAGACAACCAAAAACGCGAAGGGAAAGATAGTCGGGATGGGAAAGAAAGAGGGATTGAAAGGGAGTGTAGAGAGGACATGTTTTGGTTGGTCTAATATTGAGAAGAAGTGTGGCAGTGCGTAATGCTTCAACCCAAAAACGGGGAGGAAGAGAAGCTTGAATAAGCAAGGTGCGAAGAATATCATTGATGGAACGAAGAGAGCGTTCTGCTTTGCCATTTTGAGGAGATGTATAGGGACAAGAAAAACGAAGAAGTATGCCGTGAGAAAGAAAGAAAGTGCGATTGCGAGTATTATCAAATTCTCGTCCATTGTCACATTGAATAAAGCGTATTGGAAGACCAAAGTGGGTTAGAACATATTGACGAAAATTGAGAAAAATTGGGTGTACATCGGACTTGGCTCGGAGAGGAAAGGTCCAAACATAATGGGAATAATCATCAAGAATTACAAGATAGTATTTGTAACCAGAAACACTAGGAATTGGAGAGGTCCATAGATCACAATGGAGCAATTCAAAAGGAAAAGTACTAATAGTAGAGGATGTACCAAAAGGTAGTCTAACATGTTTGCCACATTGACAGGCATTACAAAGAGAGGAATCATGAGGGACACTAGAACTAGGGATACAAAATTCCTGTAAAAATGATGATAGTGTAGCTTTATTAGGATGACCAAGCCGACGATGCCATAGATGAACTAATGCAAGCATGGCGCGAGGAGTGGAAGTGGGGGCGCCATGAAGAGGATAAAGATCGCCGGTGCTATTGTACCGAGCTAGAACCTCCCCCGTTGTCAGATCCTTCACAGATAAACCAAAGGGGTCAAAGGCCACAATAACTTGATTATCGATGGTAAACTGACGAACGGAGATAAGATTAGTAATTAAGGATGGGACTACAAGAATATTGCGTAAAAGAAAATTGTTAGAAGAATAGGGGATGTAAGAATCACCGGTGCAAGAGACAGGAATAGTAGAACCATCACCGATGGTAATGGAAGAAAAAGAAGAAGGGAAACAAGCTGACAAAAAATTCATAGTTGAAGACATATGCGTAGATGCACCAGAATCGAAAATCCAATCCGTACCTTCGTTGTTGAGGGTGAAATTGTTCATGGCGGCGATGAAAGCAGCCTGATCCCAGCTCGGCGATGTGGTCGTAGGAGAGGGAGCAGGCATGTTCATTGGTGCATGTTGCCCGTATGCGTACGGTGACGGAGCCGAAGGAGCACCGGGCGCATAGGGAACCAGGGCGTAGCCGGGCGGAAGCACGGGGGCGCCGGGCGTGGTCGGTGTAGTAGTGGCGGTGTAGACGTGAGCCGGCGGTCGGGGTCCGAGGAGACCAGGGGAGCCGGTGGCAGGACGATGGCCCGGGCTCCAGGCGCCCGTGTATGCTGGAGGAGTGCCGTAAGGAGACGGAGCAGACCAAGGCATGGGCCACGCCTGAACCAGCCCGGTCCAGGGATCTTGCTGCTGGTGCCATGCCGTTGGAGTAGATGCCGGTGTAGACGATGATGATGATGACGCCGAGGAGCTAGCGGAGCGAGGCTGGGGCGGCCGGTAGACGGGATTCTTGCCGCGGTAGTTAGGGCTCGGGCGCCAGCCTGGAGGCGGCTGGACAGGGGCCGACGACGAAGTGGATGGAGCTGGCACCGAAGACTTGGTGGTGGCGTGAAACACTTGTGGACGAGTGGCCTTGCGAGCTTGGTTCTGAGATCTACCACTGCTATTTGGGTACTAGCGGTGGGGGGAAAACGTCATCTGTGACAGCTAAGAGCATCTCGAGCTGTGCCCCCAACAGGCCCCTTTCAGGTGTTTTTTTAGCGCCGGCGAACGAAAATCGGCCCAGTCACGTCCTCAGGAGTCCGTTTTTTGTCAGGTTGGGCCGAAATAATAGCCGGCACACCCGAGCCGAATCCAGCGCGCTGGGGCGCCGGCACAAGCAAAAAGGGGCATGGGGCCACCCCGTCGGCGAGAGGAGGGCCTTTTCCCGCCGTTTCTCCCCGCTCCCTCCAGCTTCCCTCTCATTCTCTTCATCCCTCCCGCCAATCTCGTCCTCCTTCCCTCCCTGCCGGCCGCCATGCCGTCGAAGAAGTCATGGTCTCCCGCGCCGCGACAGGTGCGACCGTCGTCGTCACCCAGCCGAAGCAGAGGAAGCCGAGGGCGCCGCCGTCCAAGCCCCCGGGCATGCAGGGATGAAGTTCAGCGCCGGGAGGCTGTCACCACCGACCGACGGAACAGGGCGCCGCCAACTCCCACGCCCATGCCGACGGTGCCGCCAAGCCCGAGGGAGGATGCCTCCACAACGCCCAGCAACACAGAAGCCGCGCCGACGCCGCCCAGCACGGAAGCAGCTCCGACACCGCCAAGCCCACGCACGCCGTCTCCGCCGACACCGAAGGCTGCCCCCGCCATTTGATGCGTTGCCCACGCGTCCTTTCGTTCTTTTTGTACGC